CCTCGGCGCGGGGTAGCTGGCGCGGGGCAGCCAAGGGCAAGAGAGGAGTTCGGGTCCTGGACGGCGAAGTCGGCCGTGCGTGGCGGCGGACTCTAGGACCACGCAGAGACCCCTGCGAGCCCGCCGCGCTGCAGCAGAGAGCCCCGCCCACGTGGGGGAGGAGCCTGGCTAGGAAGGCGGTGCCAACTGAGAGAGGAGAGGCCTAGAAGGAGAGGGCGGGGCCGGAAGGATTGCGGTGGAGGGAGCACCCCAGGGAGGACAGATGATGGGAAGGAGAGGAGTGGGGTACCCCAGGGTGTCTGGTGGTGGTTCCGGGACACCCAGTGGCAGCCTGGGTACTTCGTGACCCTTAGGCGCCTAGCAAAAGTATGGAGTCGGGAGGGTGACACTGCTCAGGGTCCCCTGGCGTGTCAGTGACCAGGGAGGATGCAGAGGTACAGGGAGACGCCCCTCCAGGTGGCTCTGGTGAAGCGCTGGAACCAGAGCGTTAACTTGAGCTGGAGGACTGCACAGAGCAGGCATCCCAACCCTACTGGCGCACAAGTCTGGCTCCTAAGGGTCTCCTGGGGGCTGCCCAGAGCCCCAGGGCTTTCCACCCTCCACCTCACCTCCTCCTCTGTCTGGGCCCCAGAGGCCACTGGAACAACCCAGGGACAGGTGGGAGGGGCTGAGTCTAGCAAGTGACACCTCTCTCCAAGCCTTGAAGTCTTGTATTCATATTGTTTCCCCCAGTGTCTTCTTGCTGTAACCGGACATGTTGGCATCTGATCTTAAAAATATATAAATAAAATAAAACAAAAATCTCAGCTGTTGAAATGATGCTGGCTTTCCCTTTGGGATGGTTTGGAGAATTTAGGTTTGAAGCTCCTCTCTTCTCTAAACTTTACCAATAATAGATGAGATCTATAAGTAAATTAACACGACATAACCAGGCCCCAAATAAGACCACATCTCCATGAACAAGAAGCGAAAACCAGAAGGGACTGGGTGCTGAAGTTGGAAGCCAAAGGCAGTGGCTGGTCCTGTGGGATAAAGGGGACAGAAAGACTCAGCTTGAGTGTACCCTAAAACCTGAAACAGTGCTGGGTGAGGGGAGCCTGCTGCCATTGGGTCTTTCCTGATGCACAAGAGCTTGAGGATGCTATGGAACCCGAGTAGAAGTAGGAGAGGACAAGGGAGAGAGGATGTAACGTCATTCAGCAAAGCCACCCTGGGGCCAGGTGATATGTTCCTGTAGATATTCCCGTAATCAGTAAAGGATGTCCTCAGAAATTGTGGGGACAAGTCACAGGACACAGATGCCTTGAAGGGGCTCCACTAACCAACCTGGGACAGCTTGGGCATTAAAATAAACTGTGATAGTGATAAATTATAACTCATTAAATAAAATAGAAATCTATACTGAAGCTGGAAGTTTGAAGAGAAGTGGGATGTTTATAGAATTTCAAAGGGTCTCCACACATAATACTTATTAGTTGTAAGGGGAGAAGAGTTAATTAACTGTACGGAGACCCTGGCAGACACCACTGTGTAGATGGAATAAAGCTCCTGAAGAGGTCCACATCCTAATCCCAGCACCTGTGAATGGGACTTTCTCCAGCAGATGTGATTGTGTTTCCTGGATTGTAGGGTGGCTTAGTCAGAGGAGTCTTTATAAGAGGTGTGTGGGGGGGTAGGGGGCAGAGTAGGGCAGTGAAACATGAAGAGGGAAAGAGGCCTTCAAGGGCTGTGGCTGTGAGCAAGGACATCAAGGTAGCCTCTAGGACTTGCTGTGGTTTATACCCAGATGTCCATCAAAGCCTTTTGCACTCTTAGGTGGAGCTTTTGTAAGGCGACTAGATCGTGGGGGTGCTGCAGCTGACTTGCTGTTAGGAGCTGGTGTCCGGCAAAAGAGTTTGTCTCCTTTCCCAGCTTCTCCTTTTTTTCAATTTTCATTCATTTATTTGTTTTTGAGGCAGGTTCTCCCTGTGTATTTCAGGCTGGTCTTGAGCTGGTATCAATGAGTGCTGAGATGACAGGCGAGGGCTGGGACGCCCCAGCTCCTGCTATTTCTCTCTGCTTCCTGTCTGCCATGACATGAGCAGCTCTCCTCCACCAGGCCCCTCCGCCACACTGTTTCTTCTTTGGAGCAGAGACCGTGGACTGAAATGTGAGCCAAAACTCACCTCTCCTCCTTTAAGTCCTGAGTGTCAGGCACTGTATTTCAGCAATGAGAAAAGTGACTAAGTCGGAGCTGGCAGAGTAAGGAGTGAATTCTCTCCCGGAGTGCTTCCAAAAGGAACCAGCCCTGCTGATTCCTCAACTTTTTAGCTTTATAAGACTGATTTTAGATTTGTGACATTCCGACTGTTAGATTTTTTAAAAAAATTGGGGTGTTTCAAGCCACTATATTTGTGGTAATTTGTTACTGAAGTAGCAGGAAACTAGTATACCACCTTAATCAAGTGAGCAAATTAACATCACCAGAAAAGGAGGGCAATCGAAATTGGGGACCACCTGACAGGATGTGGCAGGAAAGACGCAGAGTCACTCCTGTCACATTTCTGCCAAGGACTATGATGTCAGTCCAGTTGTAAGGGTATACCAGACAAACCCAAATAAAGAGACTTTTCTATAAAATAAGTGGTTATTATTTTAATGTCAAGGTTACAAAAACTGCAGAAAGACTCAAGAACTTTTCCAGATTGAAGGCGACCAAAGAGACACCACAATCAATTGTGCAATGTGATTCGGAGGAGATCTTTTGCTACATAAGTCATTATGGGGACAACTGGAACACTTAATGGGGCCAGAGGGTTTGAGGTATCAGTGTTAGCTCCCTGATATTGAAGTCTTTATTTTCACTCTCTAGGAGAATACATTTGTCTGTGGGTAGCATACACTAACATATTCAGAGGTGATGCATTATGTTATGAATGTACTTCCAAATAACACCAAAATAATAAGCTCACTTATGATACTAGCAATTTTTCTGTAATTTTGAAATAAAAAAGCAAAATGAATGTACAAATTGAGCTTTGAAAATATATGAAACAATCGAAGTCTAAGAAAGGGAGCCAATAAAATACTCAGTGAACTCATTGCCGATGAAATGGTTCTGTAGAAGGCTGACAATTTTTTTAAATAAAGGAAAAAAGAGGTAGTGATTACTTACAGAGGAAAATATATCCTAGTGGTTAGCTGGAGCACAGATTTGCAAGAAAAGTGCATTGCAGAGCAGTTTGTCTCCTGGGTCCTTTACATTGGGAGGTGGTGTAAAGGGAGTGATTACTCTGTGGCTCCTGGAGCCGGGAATCTGGACTCGATTTTGGTGTCCATATCTATCTTCTCTGTGGCCTTGAGAGAGTGACTTGACTTTTCTGTGCTTTAATTTCTTCATTTAAAAAAGGGGGAAATAACCTTCATAATAAGTCTCTAGGGATGAAGTGAAATGCTTACTGGAAAGCACTTTAATGGGGCCTTGGATATATAAAACCTAAGAAATGTTAGCTGTTATTGTGAACGTAAATTCTGAACAGAATAATGCTAAGCTGAATGTAGCAGAGCACGCATAGCAATGCATAATTATGAAGTGCGTTTTATCCCAAGAATGTACAGGTGGGTCAACATCAGATAATTCATCCATGCAGTATACCTCCTTTACACTTAATAATCAACTCAGTGAAAACCACTGCTAGTCTAGCTTCCTTAACCTAACAGACTGGCAAGGTTATCCTCAGGCAAGGTTATCTATCACTGTTTTTAGTCAACATTGCAGAGGAGGACCCAGACCAAGTGTAGTTAAACATATGGAAATTGTCATTTTTCAGGTCACAAGCTGCTTAACATCAGAAATGTATATACTATATCAGCCTATACTAGAAAAGAAAATCAAAGTTAAGAGTTGCAAAGAAAAAGTGCCTATATTTGCAACACAATTGTAGAAAAATCTAAGGAATAAATAATCCAATGAAGTTTTAGGACAGGTAAGAGGTAGCAAGGTTACTGAATTTAAGATCAACTTTTAAAACAAGGATTAGCATTCCTATTCATCGGTAATAGCAAACTACAAAATGCAATGGACAAAAAAAGATTCTGTTCACAAGCATGACAAAGATCTGTGAATATATTTAGCAAAAGATGCACCAGACCGTTCCAGAATGACATTGCTATGCTGTGACTGTGACCCTCAATTTCATGCACCGGAACTTAGCGGTCACTGTGATGATACTAAGGGACAAGCTCCACCGACACTTGCATCCCATAAACATGCACAAGGATGGAAATGAGTCTGTTCCCTTCATCCTTTCCACCCTGTGGAGATGTAGCCTTTGTCTCCTCCAGGAAAGCAGCTGGGAGATGCCCAGTCCCTCCCAGACACAGTCCTGCTGCTGGCTCAGTCTGGAAACTCCCAGCTTTGAGAACTGTGATAAAATACAGTTCTGTTTATAAGTTTCTCAGTCACAGATATTTTGTTAGAGTAGCACAGCTGAAGAAATAAGAAAAATATAAAAATTACTCAGGGACTTAAAGGATGAACTAAGTGGAAATATATGCTGTATGTATTATAAAGAGGAGGACAAAATAAACATCTCTCACCAAAATAGTCTATGAATTCTGTTCAAGTCCCACACAAATCCCCATTCTTTCATGGAATGTGACAAGCTGATTCCAAAATCCATGTAGAGATCACTGGGGAAAGGGTGGAGCAATCTATAAATGGTGTTGGGACAACTGATGATCCATAACAGAAGGATCCCAAGGTCACATCACACCAAGAATGAATCTGACTGATGAAAGATCCAGGTGTGAAAACAAAACTTTTCAAACTTTGGGAAGAAAATCTGTGCAGACACCAGTATGAGTAGGGCTGTGTCTTAGTTT